AGCCCCTGCCCGGCAGTCTTAGTCTGCGAGTGATTTCAGCGTGCGTGTCTCTAAAAGGGAGGATTTGAACATGCATAACCCCAATACGCCATCCTCAAGAAATTAAGAACACTGTCTTCATACTTCCAAGGGGAGTTTAATGAAATACGTGACAAGATTTCTTAGCGCTCACACCTGCAACGATGAGGCGCGGGAGTGGGGTCTGCGCTGCATCCTCTCTCGGTCTAGCAGCATCGTGAGGGCGTGCCGGCAGGACACTTCGGAGCCCCCTTCACTTCCTTAAAAAATACATTTCCAGTCAAGTTTCACCTTCGGTCTGATAAGTGATCAAACTGTCACATGTGTTCTTATCGGTTGTACACTAGAGGCTAAAATAAATAACCCCCGAGAGGTTTTTGAAATACACTCGGATGCATAAACAAAACCACTTAAATACCAACCTTAATTTTCGCACCGTTCGTAGATGTACACTTCTTCAGAGACATGTGATAGCGTGACTGCTAAAACGACTTCAGCGGTCGAAGGGTTTTACATCATGACAAAGTTCCTTAAGAAAGCGGGATCGAAGGACAAGTTCAAGGTGAAGGCAAAGCTGTGCAGTCAGAGGGCGTCTGTCCGGTGGCTTCTGTGGCGGGGGGGGGGTGGCGCGCCGTGACACCTCAGCGTGGGGTTGGTGCTCCACCGGATGCATCTCTTTAGGAGGAACCGTTTTATTCTAAAATCTCAACAATCCTGATAGATTTGAAGGTTGCCTACTTTGTACCTGTGTAAGCTGATGGAAATAGATCGCATTCTTAGAAATGACTTAAATGTGTTAAGGGGCACATCGGTTTTCAGGATGCCTCCGGAGCCCGCCTGAGCGCAAGTGGATGGAGACCACCGCACTAAAGGACTGCGCAGCCGGAGACGCCTGCCGGCCCCGCCCTTGTGCTGCCTTCCCCGGGAAAGCCTTCCATGATGATCATCCGGCTTGGGCTGATCATCGAACAGTGGGCGGACTCGCAGTCATTTCAAAGAACAGTTACCATAGGCAACCAGAAGCCAAGGTTGACATCAATTATACCTCCATTTATCCTCTGATAAACGCTGTTCTTTGAGACGAAGGGCGACGGTGCCCACAAATTAGAACACCTTGACACAGCAATGTCTCCTGGGGCGGGGGGGGGCGCGCGGAGGGGGGGGCTGAGGGCCGGCGTTCTCCACGGAGGTCAGGAAGTGCCAGCCAATAGACTGAGCGTGGCGCAGAGCTGCCCGCCCTCGCTCCCCTGCCGTTTCTTCCTTTGCAACCAGAGCAGTTTGTATGCGCGACCTTGGCCTTCAGACAGGGTTGAGCACAGATGAGAAGGTTGTAGTTTACATGAGCACAGTTGCTTGAAAAACACGGTGTCTGCTGCTGCTTATTGAAACGCCATGATGTGTACAGTGAGCCACAATGAAGGAGAAATAAATTTTATTTCAAACTATGAAATTTTAAACAATCCTGCTAGACAACTGTACACGTTTAATCTTCAACCAGCTTAAAACGCACCCTAAAAAGAAGCAACCGCCCCCCCCGCCCACCCTTGGTACACCGTACAGCGGCGAACAGTCACCCCGCATGAAGTCCAAGGTCGGCTGCCCCCCAAGGGCTCGCGTGAACTTGGGGAGCGCGGGCAGCGGGTGTGGCCAGGAAGCGCCGGGACGGGCTTCGGCGCCGGCCTGGGGTGTCCGGAACGCAGGGCGCCGGCGCTGTCTTGGGGGAGCCGTGGACTCGCGGGCTGCAGGGGCCCCAGGGGCCGGACCCAGGGGCCTCCGCCGGCCACGGGCTCTGGCCGGTTGGTTGCCAGACCTTCTGAGGTGTCCAGAGAAGCTGGAAGTCCAGGTTTTCCTGTGAAATCTGATTTTTTAATTTAAGTTTTACACTGAAGTGAATCCGAACATTTTGGAACAACACAAGGGTCACATAGAACACACCTTTCTGCCGTGTGTGGCCCGCTGGCTGTCCCCGCGTGACTTCCGCCTCATCCCTGTCCCAGGGTCTTCATCGGAAGTGTGCGTTCCTGTCGACTGGCTCCTAGGACAGATAGTGCCAATTACGTGGTGTTTTCCAAAGCACTGGTTACAACGTGTTTCAGAGCAAACCTGCCAGACACTCTGGAGGGACGGAGAGCGGCAGCTGCTCCGGCAGGGATTCAAGACGGCCACGCGACGAAGCTCGTGGGTCCCAGCCTTGAAAGGCTTCTGCCTGCAGCTGCTCCTGGCCCGGGACCACAGGCTGGTCGGGGGCACCGGGAGATGACTTTGGGTTAAACTTGTCGCAGAAGCCCTCGCCTGCGTCCAACTGTTCTGTTAGTAACTAAAAATACACCAATGCTTCTGTTGAAGGGGCCGACGGGTGAGCGGCCTGTCTGAAAAGGAAGCGAACCGGCCGTCGTCGAGTGGAACAGAATTGGCGTTGTTTTAAGCGTTTCTGACACGGTGTAGTCTGTCGACACTGTGGTCTGGCCTGAACGCTGGGCGAGGAGTTACGCACAGCAAACGCCAGATACGGCTTCTCAGCGTGTTTCAGCGTTCTCCTGCAGGCCCGTGTCCTGGGGTTGGGTTAAAATAACACAGTTCGGCCGCGTGAACGGGCCCAGCTCCGTGTTCCCCGCTGTGTCCGGTGCACAGGCGGGCCCGGTGCGCTCGGAGGAGCGGAGGGGCTGTTGGGAGGAGGGCCCGTCCGCAGGACTCGGCCCGTCCTGGGGAGGAAGCTTCTCCCGGTGGGTGTTACTCTCCCTCCCAGATCCCGCCTGCCAAGAGCAGATTAGTGACCTCTTTCTCTCCGCTTTCCAAACACATCAAAGCCGAATTCTCAAATAAACCTTGTTTGCCCCACGGTCCGTTGGACACTGTGTGGATAATGAAGTTGGACATAATTAGCCATAGCTGCTCTCAGAGATGACGTGTCTGTGCTCCCATAAGGGACTGGAACACGGGGCTTTGAAAAAACAGAGCAAACTCTAACCCCAAGGAGAGAGTAGGAGGCCCCACGTAAGACTGCGGCTCAGTCGGGCCAGGACTCGGGGGGGCCAGGCCCGGCCCAGCGTGGCAGAGCAGACCCCCCAGAGTCGCGCATGGAGGAGCCGCCCTCTCCAGGAGGCAGCCCTCCCGTGACCATCAGGCACACCGAAGCGCTCGGAGCCAGGGGCAGTGTTCCGGAACAGCAGGGGAAGAACAGAGGGCCCTGGAGGCAGCAGGTCGGTGGGGCCTTGGTAAATAGGGCCGCCTACGAGGGGGGGTTGTGGGGAGTGATCTTATCTAAGCTTGCGCCTCCCCCAGTTTGGGGTGCACGCCTCGGCGTGGGGACGCTGTGTTTGACTCCCGAGGACCTGCCAGACTGTCTTCCGCGGCCGTGGAGCCGTCTCTGCGCCTTCACGTCCTCTCTATCGCCTGTGATCCTCCGGCTTCCGTGGCTGTCATCCTGGAGCTCTGAAGTGGCCTCTCATTGTGGGTTGATTTCCGTTTCTCAGGGGCTGATGATGTTGAGCATCTTTCATTGTGCTTGATGGTCATTTGCATATCTTCTCAGGAGACCCGTCTAGTCCTTTGTCATTTTTAAGTTAGGTTGCGCGTCTTTTGCTGCCGCGCTGGAGAGCGCTCTGTGCAGTCTAGGGCCTCACCGGAGAGAGGTGTGCAAGTGCTTTCTCCGCTCTGTGGAGTGGTCCCGCCTCTTCCTGAGATCGCCCTGTTACGTACACGTGGTTTTCGTCCCAGTGGATCCAGTTCATCTGTCTTTTCTTTTATTGCGCGATCTTGTGGCGTCGTAACTAAGAATCCATTTCCAAATCTAAGGTCCCGAGGATTTATCACTGTTTTTCTTTTTTTATAGTTTCAGGTCTTAGATCCATTCTGAGTTGATTTTTTGTTATGTGGTATGAGGTAGGTTCTGAATTCACTCTTTGTCATGGTTCAGAACTTCAGAATTAAAACTCATAAGAGATAACCATTCTCTACAGTCTAAGAAATCATTTATAACATTTCATCATTTTTCTTCTGTTTAAAAGGGAATCAAATATGTAAACGTAAGAGCTAAAGCTATAAAAATCTTAGAAGAAAGCATACCAGTAAATCTTTGTAACCTTGGATTTGAAAATGAATTCTTATATATGACAACAAAAGAAAAAGCAACTAAAGAAAAAAATAGATATTGGGAAATCCTATATTGGATAAAGATCTAGTATTTGGTCTATATAAATAACTCTTACAACTCAACAGTAAAGCAATGAAGATCCCAATTTAAAAATAGGCAAAGGATTTGAGTAGACATTTCTCCAAAGAAGATACAAATGGCCAATAAGCACATGGAAACATGTTCAGTATCATTAGCCATTAGGAAAATACAAATTAAAACCATGAGATACCATACCACACCCTGGAGAAGAGTTCTAACGAGACAAATGGACAATAGTAAGTGCTGGCAAAGAAAGGGAGAGATCGGGACCCTCCTGCATAGCTGGCGAGGGTGGAAGGTGCTGAGGCCACTTGGGGAAAGGTTGACAGTTCGTCAAACTCCTAAACTACAGTTACCACATGACCCAGCAGTCCCCTCCCGGGACTGCGCCCCAGGGGGTGCTCTGCCTGAAAGCTGGGGTGCGGATGCACCTGGGACGTTCTGCTGCGTGGTGTGACTCCAGGTGACGCTCTGCTGTGGACACGCCCTGCTGAGGAGTGGGGAGTCCACAGACGGAGAGCGGACTGGTGGTTGCTGGGGGCAGGGGAGACCGGAAAGTGACTGGTGAACAGGGTTTCTTTTTCACTGACGAGAATGTTTGGAATTCAGTATTGCTAATGGTCATTCACCGAGAACATACTGAAAACAGTGAATCGTGCACTCGGAAAGAGGGAATTTGAGGATATGTAGAATAGCCCAGTGAAAATAAATAAAATTTAAGATTTTGCATGCACAGATTTTGTGTGTGAGCGTGTGTTAAAGCAGTGCTCGTTTGACGTGTGCCTTAAGAACATCTCTCTCTCTGTAGGAATTTATCGTGGCACCCCACACTGACCACTAAACGGAAAATGCGAATCCCACATTCCAATGCGTTTATCGATCTGACTGAAGATTTCACGGCAGGTGAGTTGCTCATAAATGTAAAATACTCCTTTTCAACTGTCAAAGCATGATGGGATTTTATTTACTGTTTTCTTAGTAAACATGTTCTTTCGATTGGTGTGTTCAAACAAAAACGTGCGAAGGTCGGGAGGAAGCCCGTGGTGTCCGGCGCGTGGAAATTTGCTGGGCGTGAGGAGCCCCCAGTTGCTCCTGGGGGTGGCGGTGCTGGTGGCTGCGGCGGTGGTGGCAGTAGTGGCGGTGGTGGTGCTGGGTGGCGCGGCTGCGCGAGGATTCCCAGAGGGCAGAGGGCGGGAGAGTGACGGGTTTGTGGTACGTTCCTGGGGGCGGGGCGGGGCTGGGAGTGGAGGTGAGCCCCTGCCCCAGCACCAGCCCGGATGAGCCACGGCTGGGAGCTCTCACCCGGCCATGGGGCGGTGGTAGAGCAGGGTGCTGCAGTGCCGGCGGTGTTGTCGGTGAGGGTGGGGCCTGGGGCCGGTCAAGGCGGTCAGCTGTGTCCCTGGTGTGTCCCGTTTGCACGTTCCTGCAGCCTCTGCACCTGCAGGGCGCTCGCGGTGATTTTCTGGTCCTGAGGGTAGAGGCTCCTGAGAGAACTGGGGTCGGCCGTGCCTTCTGGGGTCGGTCGTGCCTTCTGGGGTCGGCTGCTCCGGGAAGGAGGGCCTGAGAAAGGGGCTTTTGTGCTGTCAGCGCTGGCCTGCCTTCCAGTTCTTTCCACCCCTGCACCTGTTACTCCGCAGCCACTCGCCTGCCTTCTGCGTCCGGTCTGGACAGCCCCACGCGCTTGAGATCGGTGAACTCCCCAGTGTTTACGGTCTCGTGGCCGTCCTGCTTCACCGGGCAGCACCCCTCAGGGGCCGCCCGAGTCGACAGGGTTTCCTCTGGAAACACCCGTCGTGTGCGCCCCCCACGCGGTCGTGTCCGCGTGCCAGCTCTGGTGAGCGCTGCTGCGGTGGGCGTGGGGGCGCAGACAGGCCCCGAGGACCCCCAGCGGGTTGGTCGGTGCTGCGCTGCCGCTGGTCGGCCGGCCTGTTTCAGCCCCATCAGCCCTGGCTAAAGAGGAAGCTCTTGTTGAAAACGGCGCTCGCTTGCACAAGTTCAGACGTGCGGTTTTGAATGGGTTTTCGTTTAAAATTCCCCACGGAGTATCTCAGGATCACAAACAACGCTTCGGAACATGAGCTGTGGGAATTTTATCTAAGCAGACATGGAAAATAAAGGGGACTTTTTTTTTTAAGAGTCCTGTCCATTTTTCTAAAAAATACAAATTAAACCATTTCGATCCTTAAGATAGGAGCAGGTTATCTTACGAACCCCTTCTAAATGCATTCTGCTGGAGCCGATTCAAATGCTGTTGTGAATAATTGTTGATCTTTATCAGGAAGACGAAGAGCCCTGCTTTCCGAAAACTGCGGCTGAGTCTCCGAGGCCACGGGGAGCAGGGGAGCAGGGTGTGCTGGTGCGGGCGCCCGCGCCGGCCCTGGCGCTTACACACGTGTCCCTGACACGCCGGAGCGGGACTCCCCGGGGCCATGCGTCTGCCGTAGTGAGATGTCTCACCTTGCTCACTCGTAACCGGGGGTGCCCGCTGCGGGGACCTGGGCTCCCTGCCCCCCCACCCCGGAGCCCGCCCTTTCGCACCCCCGGCCCGCGGAGAGCACACTCCCGCAGCGCGCGCGCGGCCCCGCAGCGGAGCTCGTGTCACTGGTGTGATGTGAGCGGCAGGCCCGCGGCACGCTGCGGCCTGTGGGCCGCGGGCCCAGGGACCGTGGGAGAGGGCAGCTGACTTCTCCGTCAGCCGAAGACACTGTGGTCACGCGGGCGAAACAAACCCCACGGGGTGGGGGGAGCACGGCCTCGCGCAGCCTCACACATCGCGAGTGCGCTTTGTAAGTGCGTGCCGCGTGAGGGCCACGGGGACCCACCTAGAGCTGGGTGGGGGTGGGGGGGCTCGGAACAGTTTCTGCTGGAAACTTCCGGCGACCGAGGTGAGTGTCCTACGGTGGTTCCTCCTTAAAGGAGGAAAATAAACTGTCGCTCTGTTACACCTCACCTAATGACATTGCTCTGTTTACCCCGCATTGCATTTTCACTGAATTTACTATCTACTATCAGACGATGCCAATTACTTCACGGGCACCCTGGTAGCGTTTGCCATGCGCTGCGCAGTCCGCCCGAGGGGCCGAGCCCTCGGCGTCTGACCCGTGGGGGGCCCACGAGCCCGTGGCGATCAGAAGCGCAGGGAGAAGCCCTCGCTCCTTCCCAATGGGGAAGGTTCTTCCTGCCGCGGGTGGGTCTGTCGGCCGCTCTGCTCCGTGTGCATGGCTCGCAGAACTGGGGCTTCCTGTCGGAGTCGCATTTGCTGAGACGGCCCGGTGCGGCCCAGCGCAGCTGCAGGCCTGGGTGTGGAGGGAGCACCGCCGAAGCCGTCGCCACCCCCGTGTCTCGGGCCTTGTTTGGTCGCCGGAGGAGTCAGTGGCACGTCCCCGATTATCATTCCGAACGGGGTGCCCGCCAGTGAATCGCATTTCTCGCCTGTCAGACAGGATCTGATTTATCCGGGGGCATTCCCGTCCCAGTGACCTTGCCGGGTGCCTGATTATTTTCAGGGAGGGGAACGCGGAAGGCAACCTGGACCCAGTTCATGTTTCCTCTTGGGGACAGAGCGCCTCAGTCCTGTTCAGTTTCACAAACGACCGTCATTGCGGGAGGTCACCGCTGACCCGAGTGCGTGGGCGACCCTATGACCCGGGCGCGACCCTACGACCCGGGGCAGGAGGTGTTCGAGCTCCTCTCGGGAGCAGGAGGCGGAGCAGCCGCAGGGGTTCGGGCCGTGCCCACCTCTCACGAGCAGTGCCTCCGGGAGCGTCAGATGCCGCCTGAGCTCACGCCTCTCTCCTCCCCGCCGCCTGCTCCCTGCCATCCCGCTGTCCCCGGGCGGTGCCTCTGCCCGGACCCTCGGGAGGAGGGGAGAGGAGATTCCAGTCCCCCGTGCGTCTCGCAGCTTGCAGGCTGTGGGGTGCGTGCGGCTGGCCGTGCTGTCCCAAGCGGTGTCGCTCCAGCCTGGGTTCCGGGCCGCCCCCGCGGTGCCCGTGGGCGGGCTGCACGTGCTTGTTGGCTGTTTACGTGTCTCTGCAGAGAAACGTCTGTCCAGGTCCTTTGTCCCTTCACCGGCCAGGCGGTCTTTGCTGCTCTGAGCTGCGGGAGTTCCCGTGCGCCCAGGATGCTGCTCCTCTATCGGACTCACGGTTCGCACGTGATCTCTCCCGGTCCGTGGGAGGTCTTCGCGCTCCATCGTTACTGCCCTCTGATGCCGTTTTGGAGTCGCCCGTGAAGTCCGGCTCGAGTGCTGTCTCCTCTGCGGCCTGCGCCTGTGGTGTCCTCGCCGGGAGACCCTCGCCGGACGCGGCGTTGGGAAGCGTCTGCCCCATGGCGTCTTCGGGGGTCTCCACTTCGGGGCGGAGGCAGCTTGGGTGCTCGGGGTGAGACCGGGGTCCGGCCGCGTGCTGTCGCATGTGGGGAGAGTCGGGGGTCTCGGCGCAACCCGTCCCCTCCCCCACTGAGCGGCCCTGGCACCGGTGCCAGAAGTCACTTCCCCACCATTTCCAGGGTGCGTCTCTGGGCCCCCCATTCCGGTGCACGGACTGACTCTGTGTCTGTCTTCACGCCGAAGTTGCGCCGTGTCGGTCGCTGCGGCTTTGTGGTGAGCTCTGCACTCGGAAGGTAGGGGCCCTCCGGCCTCAGCCTTCCGCAGGACCGTTCTGCTGCCTGCGCGAGGGTCCCCGGAAACCGCCCCCGACTCCCACAGGGCCGGCCCTGCGCGGCCGAGGAACGTGCGAGAAACTCACAGTGCGTCCCTCAGACTCTCCGTCCGGCTTAAGGAGCCATCTCTCCCTCCTTTCTGGTCGGGCTTCACCGGTTTTCGGTTTCAGGAGGCGGTGTTCGGTTCCGCACGCCGGCCCTCTGACATTAAAGGAGAAAGGTTAAACCTCTCCTCGTTGCCACGGACGCGCTCCACATGACCTTTAGCTGCGTCCTACTGTTGCAGTCGCGCCCGCTCCCCGGGGCAGAGAAGACAGTTCGAGAGCGTTAATTAGCGGCTTACTCACCGCGGCGGCAGGGTTTGCTATTTATATTGCAGCTGCCTGCTTTGCGCGGCGCTGAAGATGCACTTTCGGAGCTGACACCGAGTTTCCTAAATTACTCCGTGCAGCTGTGTGAAAGGAAGCCTCGGCGCACCTCACATACACTTAATCTCCATGTGCAATCGCTGTTGTACTTGGTTTCGCTTCAAAAAGTATGTAATTTCACACGTGGAGTTTAAAATTCGTGATCTTGAGGAACTGTTTACTTCTCACCGTTATCATTCACTCAGATTTCGTACGGCCTTGTGAGCGGTTTTATTTTACTGTTTTAGTTATTTATTTCTAGAGAGGGGGGAGGAGGGAGGGAGGGGGGAGGGAAGGAAACACCCCCCGGTTGTCTCTCACGCGCCCCCAGCCCAGAACCCAGCCCAGAACCCAGCCCAGGCCCGTGCCCTGCCCGGGAGTCGAACCTGCGACCCTTCGGTCCGCTGCGCCACACCAGCCAGGGCGAGCAGTTCGCTCCGTTGTCGGGCGCCCTGAGGTGCGCCTGCTGTGGTGATGAGGTGCACGTTACCTGACGCTTGTTCCTGAGTGAGCCGGAAGCCAGAGGACGTCTTACTGTTTTAATGAGTTGCTTCAGCCGGAAGTTTCTGAAGGACTGTTTGGTTTAAGCTCACTCCCTGCATAAAGAGGGTCCCGCACGGTCAAACGTCACGCGGCAGCGCTGTGCCTTCTGACACTGCCGTTCCCCACGAAGCTCCGCACGGCACCGGTGCCACCGCCTGGGCCCCGCCCCCAGCACCACCTGGCTGCGGGGCTCCGCCCCCGCGGTTCCTGTCACGCCGTCACAGCTCCAGCCCAGCCGAGCCCCCACCCGGGTCCTCGGGGGACGGGACGCCCCCTCGAGGCAAGGAGCGCCCCTTGGTTGTGTCTCTCCAGTCGCCGGGCGCCGGGCCCAGGGGAGGCACGGGCAGGGGGCAGGGCGTGTGGGGGGGTGCCACCGAGGAGAGCTGGGGACCCTCTAGTCCGGCCACACCCCGCTTCCCGGGCCAGGAGAGGCGCCCGGGGAGGCTGGAGCTGTGCCGGGCCGTCTCCAGCTACTGGACCTCGCCGCACCGTGCGTGTTCTCTCGCTGCGCTGCTCTGCATTCACACAGACGTCCCCTCCGGTCCCTTCCAGAAGCGACGCGCAAAAACCGAGGGGTGGATTATCCCGTCAAGGGCACTGCCCTTAGTGGCAGGAAGCTCCTGTCCGGTGCTCGGCAGGGAGACAGACCCGTGAGGGGAGAGGACAACCCGTAGGTCGAGGGTTTCGACGGGCCGCGGCGAGGGGCCCGCTGGTGAGTGGCGGGGGCTCGGGGGGCTCGGCCGTCCCACGCGACTCGTGGGGCCTGCTTCCCCGTGCCGCCCATGAGCTGCGCGGGGCTGTCTGCTGCCCCTGCTGCGTGCGTGCTGCTCCGCGTGACGCCCTGCGGCGTGCTCCGACACGGCCGCTGTCGGAGCCTGAGTGACAGCCGCCCCCCCGTGCGTGCCAGCGCGCGTCACCTCGAGTGACTGGCGCCACTTGAACGGATGCTCCCGGCCCGAGTGTGGCGTCGCGTGACGAGCCAGTTTCTGTGAGCGAGACTGAGGTCCCTGCTCTGACGCCGGCCCCCTGAGCTGGGAGCCCGTCGTGCGGTGGAAATTCAGAATTCTGTTAAAAAGGAGATGACTCGGGAGACAGAAATGCATAAAAGCTGACGTTTGGCGGGAAGGAACTTCGGCGTCGGGACAGACAGACAGACTGCACGCGGTCCTCTCACCCTGGGGCCCGAGGCGCCCTGGCCCGCCTGCTGCCTGCAGGCCCGTGGTGGGTAGACACGCTCGCATCAGCGGCTGTTGGAAGAGGAGCGGACGTGATGTCTTTATGACACTGGACGTCAGGCCTGGGCGGGCGTGGGCCAGTGCGGGTCCGGCTGCCGAGTAAGGGGGCGACGGGAGCGGAGGGCCGCACTGTGCGAGCCAGACGGACTCGGACCGACCTGCTGCCCGAACGGAGCCCCTGGGGCCGGCGGCGTCCTGGAACTCGTGGTGTCGGACATCGTCCAGGGGGCGTTGCTCCGAGGGGCGCTGCCGCCGGGGAGCCTGGGGGTCTCAGCGGCCCGGCACCCGGTCCGTGGGCCGCGGCTCTTTCCGTCGCTCGGGCCTGCGTCGTCCGCCGTCTGGCGAGTGCGGGCGAGCGCGGAGGCGGCGGCCTCCGGGCAGGTGGGCCTTCCAGCCGGAGCGGCTCCGACGGCCCGACCACGGGCTGTCCACGGTGCCTCCCCCGCCCAGGGCTCCACGCTGCAGTCCGCAGGGGCGGGCGGCCTCCCCAGTGCCACCGGGAGCCTGCCCTCCCCCTCGCTGTGCGAAGAACTGCTGCGCACTGGGCCGTGTGGGAGGGGAGAACGGGACTGTGTTGTGGACCCGAGTGTGCTCCAGCTCCGGTTTCCCTCTCGTTCCGTTCACGGCCTGAGGCGGCACTCTTCATACTGAACTGTTAATAACTAGTCGTCGCTATTTTTATTTCTCCACAAAGTGAGTCATTCGTTTTCTATAACCTCTGCACGTGATAGAATAGGGAAATGAATTTTTAAAATCAACTTTACAAGGTGCTTCCAATCCCTTACCTCATGTCACTGGTTTTCAAAGTCTTAGTAAATAACTAGCGAAGCTGTGAAAATACAATCGGCAAAGACCGTGGGTTAGGATTCTTAAATTTCTAAACAGGAATGAAACCACAGGAACCCCATAATATGTCACCTTTTATGCAGCTATGTTGAGACTAACACAACATCAACAGGAAAAAAAACATTCCATTGTTTTCCCCAGAACGGTGATGGGGTGATGGATCGCTGGAGCCAGCCAGCCCCCCCCCCCCGCCCCCGCTCTGGTGCTGACTGAGGCGGCCCTCCCAGCAGTGCAGCGCAGCCACGGCCCGCTCAGCAGGGAGCCTATGACCCCCTCGCTGCGGAGACGCCTCCTCATTTACCCTCCCGGGGCTAAGAATTTAACAGTGTGGCGTCTCCAGTTTAAAACGAGTCACCTGCGTCCTATTAAGTGCTAGCATAATCGCCCCTCTCCTGGCCTTGGCTTCTTTCAAACAGCTCTGCGCCTGCACCGGCGGGGCTCGGTGGCCGGTAATCCCTAATCACTTCCTAATGCTGATTGCCCACGGTTTCAGATAACGTAAAAATGGAACAGCTTTTCCGCATTCTTAGTACAGCAGTCACTGTCATAAGTAAAAATTAAAAAACTCACTTTCGTGAAATGCTTTAACATAAGGCCCTTCTTTTCCCAAGGCTTCCCACTTGAGATGCAACACAGTAACTATTTTAGACAGCCGAAGCAACTGGGCTTCGATGTAGCGTGTAGTCCTTCACCAGTCATTGGAGGAACGCACCCTGGGTCCAAGCACGTGGGAACCGGAGAGATAGGGAGGTCCACTGGGCGTGACTGCTCCCCGCGGGGAGCTCGGGTGAGAGGGGGCGAAGCCAGAGTGTCACAGTGCAGCGTGTCCCCAGCCCCGGGGCAGTGGGGACAGGGTCGTGGAATGACAATGCAGGGAAGGCTGTGCCCAGGCAGAGCAAGGGCCCCCCAGGAGGGACGGGGACATGTGCACTCGTTTTGAAGGCTCGGTTCACAGTTCACCGGGTGGCTGGGCGCCACGCAGAGTCCCCCGTGTTTTCTGGCGAGGGAGAAGCAGGAAGTGGGTCTGGGAACAGGCGGGCGGGCCTTCCCGTGACGGGTGCGGGGGTTCGCCCTGCATCCCGGGAGACGGGACTGTGACCTCGTTTGTACCTGTGTGTTTCCGTCGTGCTGGAGGGGCGCGGCAGGCGGAGTGTTTGGGAGACCCTCCTGGATCAGGGGTGTCACACTCATCGTCACCGGGGGCCACATCAGCCTCACAGGTGCCTTCAAATGGCCGAATGTGATTTCAGCTCCTCAGCAGTGAAGGGCGGTTGCATGTACAGTCCTAAAATTGTTTCGGCCCTCTGAAGGCATCCTCGAGGCTGATGTGGCCCCTGGTGACAATGAGTGTGACGCCCCTATCCCGGATGAGTGTGGAATCAACGCCTCACGGGGGGTGTGGGTGTGACAGAGGAAAGAAACCGGCCCGGCAGTGGACCGCACTTCTGTGTGCGGGACGGAGCCACGCCGGTGTGGCGAGGGCGCTCTCAGAGACAAACGGTTACTAGGGGGCATTGGGGGCGGGGCCGCTTGCTGCGTCAGGAGTGCCGAGTTCAGCTAACGATAGAAGCCAGCGAATCACTTAGCTTTTCGGGGGGGGGGGGGTTGCAAATTCTTTGCTGTAATTACTACATAAATTAGCTTCATTAAGTTCCTATGAAATCTTTACAGAAAGCACATTAAAATACGAGTAACAGTTTTCTAAACATATTTAATGGGGGAGAAACCTTTTCTTTACAGTAGCCGTGGTCTTATCTTATTGTGAATAATTTCCGATTTCACAGCACGATAGAGTAATGCCATTGTAGTGTTCCTGTGCGTCGACTCCGCGCTCTGAAACTCTCCAGAGTCACGGAGCGGAGCCGCCGCTGGGGGGCGCTGCGCACGCCGCCGCCGGGAGCGTTTGCCGGCCACCCGGGCTTTGCAGGAGCCGCACGTTCAGCTTGCTGTCCCCCTGTTGTCTTAATTCCGTTGAAATTAGTGTGCTTTTCAGTAAAACAACTTTCTCCAGTTGGGATATATGGAGATAATTTTCTGCTACTCAAAATTTGAAATATAACCTCCCGTTCATTTAATATGGGTGCTAATGACCGTGGATGCTGTAATGGTGTGATTTAAAATAACGCTCGGACCTGAGTGTGATGCATGCTGCTTTTAGGGGGAGGAAGCAAAGTGTGATTATGGTGAGAATATCTTTTCTTAAAATATGGTCTGCCGTATGTTTAAAAAAAAAAAATGTCCAGCCGAGTGCTCAGGATGCGCTAATTGGCTTTGTCAGGTGGCACGTGGCCTGGCGGCCTCGCCCAGCAAGAGGAAGGGCGCTCTGAGGGCCGAGCGAGGTGGGGGGCTCTGCACTCCGCAGGAGGGGAGGGGCGGGGAGGGGCGGGGTGACCTGGCCGTCTGCCCTGGAAGAAGAAGCTCCTTCGGGCGCCCGGACACCTCTTCTTCCGGCAAGGGGAAGGGTGTTCTGACACTGCACCTTCTCTCTGGGAGCGTGGGGGTCCCCGTCACCTGTTACCCAGGTCACCCCCCTGGTGCTGGCGCACCCCCTTTAAATGCATTTCCCTTAGTTGTAGCCGTACAAAGTCATCTGTCTTTTCTCCGATGGTATCGAGCTCATTAAAACGTAATTTAAAATATGCTTGAGCACAACTGTGTGAATAGCTGTTTTTATGCATTGCGTTTCTTCCTGTTTTTAAACACACACGTCGGTAACAAAACTTAACAATGCGATTATTTTCCTCCTAGATTTATTCCTCACGACGTTGTCTGCCTCGGGCACCTCCCAGTTTGAGATATGGAAAAACGTGGTAAGAAATCTCTCCTCTGAAGCATTTTCAAGTGATGGCTTTCAGTGAGAGCACGCAATTTTAGAAAATAAAATGAAAGCGGTCGCTTGCTCGGTTGGCTTCGACAATAAATAGAACAACTTTAAGAGCCTTTGGCTGCATTGCTGCGTTCACGCTGCCGACTCGTGCTGCCGGAGAAAATGCATCATTCAGCACCAGGCCCGCGGCAGACGCTTGGGCGGGCCTGCCGGCCTCGTGGTCGGTCCTTGCTGATGCGGCCGTGCCTGTTACTGGGCGCCTGCTGGGCGCTGTCAGCTGCTGAGACGGGGGACTGGGGCTCAGCTGTCCCCACTGTGCTGTGATGAGGAAAAGCGTTTTTGAAAAACTAATTCCTCCTTTTTGCGTTGAGGCTTATATAAAAAAAAAACTAAGAAGAAAACAGATACTAAACTTAACGCCTAGGTGACCAAGATTAATGAGTCTTTCCCAGCACATACATATATATATATATATACTTTTTTTAAATTGCAAGTAGAAGATTCCCAAACTGGAGTCATGATTGTGTTTTATTTGTAGCCTGATACGGCTTATGTGAAAGAGCAATCAGTGAAGAATAAACCAGCTGGGTCTTAAAGCTGAACTCAGGCTCCCCGGGAGTGGATGGGGCCTGAGGTCGGGCCGGGGGAGGGCCAGCGGCCGGGCGCCCAGTCCCGGGCACTTGCCCCCGGCGACTCCTGCTCTCGGAGGGCCTCCTCCCCGGAGGGCTCGTCAGGGAGCCGTGTGCGCGAGGGCCCCGGCCCGCCGCGGGCACCGAGCAGGTTTAGGTTGACGTCTCTTCATCTCCAGCTGTTTACTGTTGATTGTCTCTGATTCGATCCACGTTAAGTCCCTACCATTTGTAGATTTTTGTTAAACGACTGGTGAACACTAAGCAGATGCAAGAAATGCGAAGCGCAGGCTTGTGGAGGGAGATCCGTTAGCAGCCGCCCCTGGCAGCGCAGGGGGCGGGGCTCGCTGCCGCTCGGTGGGGACGCGCCGTGAGGTCATGCGTGGACACACTTCAGTGGTCACCACCTGCAGGTCCGACAACCCAGCGGGCAGCGCGGCCCCTGGGGGCAGCGCGGAGGGCGGGCATTCAGCTCTGCGCGGCCCGCCGTGGCCCGGGAGCGGCGCAGTGATCTTTATATGCGGCGCAGCAAAAGCCTAAAATTACTTATCTCCCCGCTGTAGTTAAAACGCTGTGTTTCACACTTGGCAAGTGAATTGCAGCGGCCTAACCCAGAGCTCTCCGCCTTGAACAGGACGGGAACTTCTCCTTCGGCTCTGAGCTGCAGACGCCGCAGGCCCTGGTGGTGGTCGGGCAGTCGGCCTTCGCGGACTTCGGTAAGGCCCTCCGCCCTCGGCTCCCCTCCCCCCCTGTGACCCGGGCACAGTCCCTCCTGTGGCCGAGCGTCCCTGCAGCGCGGTCACAGCCGCGGCAGGTGTCGTGCGAGGGTGCGGTCGGCTCTTCGGGGCGGGGGCAGTGGCGCTTGACAGGTGTCGGAGCCACCGCTTCAGCCGGGGGGCCTGTTCGCAGCACGGCCTCCGTGGGCGTAGGGGCTGGGGTCCCATGTGGCTGCGCCGGTCAGCCTGGCCCCGGAAGCCCGGCTGCGGAAACCTCTCTGCCCCGGCGTCACTGCCAGAGCGGACTGACGCCCCTCGGGAACTGGCCGCAGGAGGACCAGGGGTCTCTGCTGTCCTCAGACCCCACACCACAGGGCACGCCCACAGCGGTCAGGAGTGGCCAGCACCCATGGCTCCTGCGTGAGCTCCCGGGCTCCACCAGGAGGGTTTGTTTGGGTGGGAGGGCGGTCCAGGTAGCTGCCCCCTGCGTGCTGCCCACGGACGCCTCAGCCCGTTCCCCGGAGTGTGGGTGACAGGGCCCCACACCGGAAGCCCCCGTTGCCCCTTTATAAAGTGCGGTGACAGCTGTCCCCACCTCCAGAGACTCGGGGGGAGAGCACGAGGTGCCCCTGGGTCGTCCGGTCCCTCCCTGGGGTGCTGCCGGGCTGCTCGTCGCTCAGGTGACGCCTGGGCTCCTGTCCCGAGTCCCAGGGATGCAGCGGGGGCCTGCACGGCTGCCTGGCGGGAATGTCACGTGGGTCTCCCTGCCGTTCGGGAAGGTAGTTCCATCGCATTGCTGTCACCTTGGTCCAGAGCACATTTCCGGTGCCCAGTGTGCAGTCTTTGGTGCAAACCGTCACGTGGTGGAACTCATGACGTGATTGTTCTTTAACGTGCTGACGGACCTGAGCGTCCAGGTCAGTGATGATGCCCTCGCAGGCTCCCCACGCCCGGCTGGGGCCCCGGTCACAGCGGTCCCTCAGGGCTATGGGGGGGGCGGGGTACATGCCTGGCTTTCAGCAGAGTTATCAGTAGCTTCACTCTAAATTTTTCTACATTGCACTAAACATAGACATTAATAAGTTGGCATTTCTAAGTGTGCAGAGTGTAGGGTAGAGTCAGTCAAGAAACACTGTGTCTCCTCCCTGGTTTTAATGACCCGAGGCAGGGTGTGAGCAGACTTTCCTGGTGCACCAGTAACTCTGAGTGCGTGCCCCGGCGTCCACTTACAAGTCCTCGTGTTCTCGGTCGGGCATCCTGAAAAAGTAAGGCTGCGTGAGCCCCAAGAAGCAGGTGGCACTGAATACGTGTATGACTATTAATATACACACAATGTGCCTTTTCCTACGCATTCGAATAAGTCTGAGAGTTGCCCCTTGCCCTTTACGTCCCAGCCCTCCTCCTCCCGTGGAACCAAGTCAAGGGAGGTGACGGACAGGCGGGGAGGCGGCGCGCTGTCGGAAATCCTCGTCGTCGTGCTCGAACAGGCAGGCGCTGCCGCTCGCAGGAAGGGCCCTTCCGGAACCCCGGGCTTGAACGGCTCCCAGCTCGTGCGGGTTGTCCAGGAGCAGAAGTTCGTTACAGCTGTGATGAAGTTTTCAGCTCCTAACATAAAATATTAAAAGATATTCTTAAAATCTGCTTTAAAAGTAGGCCCTGCTGGTACATCCAAAATGGTGTGGGTGGCATGGTTCGAAATTACTTCAGGATCCTTTGGCGGATGAGGAAAGGAGATAACCACAGTCACGCACCGCTTAGCGGCGGGGACCCACTCCGTGGACTGCGCGGTCGGTCAGGGGACTCTGGCGTCACGTGGACGCCGTGGCTGCCCACGGGGGTGGCGCCTGCTGCCCGGTCCTCTGGAGCTGCCGCACGGCAGGGCATGTGTGTGTGTCTCGGCTCCTTGGGGCGCCGCGTAGAAGATGGAGAATGGAGCGCCGTGCAGGGCGCTGACCGCGACGGGAGCCCGCAGGCCGGAGGTGGCTCTGGGCTAGGAGCGAGGGCGCGTGGGCGCGAAGGCCGGGCCATCACTGTTTCCTCTGTGGGGCAGAGCAGCACTCGCCCAGAAGTCAGCTGGACGGAACCCCACAGCGCCCTGGCCGGCGAGGCGCGGCAGCCCCCAGGCGGCCTCCGTGGGTCGGCGGCATCTTCCCAGAGTCACGCGGTGTTGACTCCCCTTTTAAACCGCGTATCGAGCCTTTTCCCAGGCGTCAAATTCTAGAATTTCTACAAACCAGGTGATATGTCTTTATTCAATTACAGAGGACCAGAGAGTCAAGAATAGGGTACATTTTTTTCCATGAAAGAAGAAATTACACGCAACCAGACTCGGAGTGAACACGTATTAATCTTGTACCCAATGCCAGACGCACTGGAAATCGATAGAGAGCCGCAGCCCTGAGGAGAGAGCAGAAACCCTGGCGGAGCGTCAGCGTGTCCCGTGGGTGGAATCGCACTGCAGCCCTCGTGGTGCGGGCCCCCATGTACCCTGGTCTGCGGACGCCCGTGTGTCCCTCCGACCACCATCAGGAGACCCCACTTCACTCTCAGGCGGAGGGGCACCTAGCACATCGGTGAAGCCGGGAATGTCCGTCCGTCCATCCGTCCGTCCGTCTCCCGCATCGCCCTGTAGAAAGGACAGGCGCCGGTGGCAGGAGACACTGTTGCCCTTCGTGGCCGTCGTTAGCACACCGGGAGACGCTGAACCCCTTGAAGGGGGTGTCCGGGTGGCCGAGAGCCAGGCTTGCTCGGCCCGATTTCCTGCCCGGGTGTGTCTGGGGGCTCCGGGGGGGCCTGCTGAGAGGGCGTGCAGCCAGCCCGGCCGGGCCGGGGCCACCCCTGGGGGTGGGGCGGTCATACCCGGGCTGGGCTGGAGGCGAGGCCGGCAGGAGTTGCCGGCCGGTTGGCTGTTGGAGGGGAGAGGAAAAGCCGCAGCGAGGACGGCTTCTGGGTTTGGGGCTGGGGCTGCTGTCCGCAGGGCGGCCCTTCCCGGGGCGGGGGTGGGGCAGGACTCCGAGCTTTGCGGTCCGCTAGCAGTTCTGTGTTGACCGGTCAGCTCCGGGGTGTCCGCTGGATGCCGACCCAGACACCGGTGGGGAGCAGAGGCTCCGGGAGACACAGGTTCGCCCTCAGCACAGCCCTGTGTAAGTGCCTCCAGCGGAGGGGTAACGAGTGAGGGAGTGCCGCCCCCAGTGTCCCCGCTCCGCAGCACTGTGAGTGGGGCCGCGCTCCAGCCCGCTGGCCTCTCGGGTGTTCTCCCCGCAGGCCGGGCACCAAGGGCCCCACCCCGCCCGGAGGTCCCTGCCTTGTCCATCCTCTGCTTCGCGCTCCTCCTCCAGCGTTCCTCGAGGCTCACGCCCTCACCGGCTTCTGTCCTTGCCAAAAATGTCGCCTTCCCCGGGAAGCCTTCCCTGATGACTGCTCTGGTTAAAATGGGCACCCCCGCCCCAGCGCTCCGACCTCTTTCCCTCTTCGTTTTCCTCCCCGGCGGTGGCCAGGGCCCATGCCGGTCAGGCGCCCTCCCGAGACCCCGCCCCACAGCTGTGGGGTTCACTGCTGCGTCCCAGACTGGCCCCGGCCCCGTCGTAAACACTCAGCGGGTGGTTCTGAATGAGTAATTCAGTGAAAAGCTTCCTAGTGAATTTAAGCAATCAGTGTTTTAAGACCTGAGCCCAAATTTAGGACATGTCTTAAGTATCTTCAACCATAATTCTCAGACAGAACTTCTGGATGTCATTCACATGATGAGGACTGATCTAACATTAATTTTGCTCATTTTGATTAAAGTCAGTGATTGAACTGAAATCGCTGTGAATGTCTAAAACAGGTTGGTGCTGATTTAGTGGGAGACGGCCTAGGTCCGCACAAATCGTAATTCCCAGTCTTTACATTTCCACGTTCTAACTCCTGAACTCTGACAGCGTGCACCATCCGGAGCATTCATGTCGTTTAGTCAGTACTCAAGCAGACCACCGCGCCTGCACAGCTTCCGCACACCCTCTTGGGCGGTGCCGGCGCCCACTGCATTCTGACACGATCGAAGTAAAAGCAGCCAATTCAGACAGCTCTTGCTCTCACCGGTGGGACCCCTGTCTCCCTCAGCCCGCCCTGCCCCGTCCCACCAGAGACAGACGACACGGTTAGAAACTTCCGGTAAACGGAAGTGTTCTAAGTGCACCCCCTGCCAGGTGGCACGGGAAGGAAGGGTAGGCAGTCTGCGGGTCTGCCTCTCCCGCGAGCCCAGGGAACGGCGCAGGAAAAGCTGGCGCCCCTCCCGGTCCTCACGTGCGGACCGCATCCACAGTGCACGGGACGGAGTCACCGTGTCTGCGTGGATTGGCGGCCGTGCCGTGGTCACGTGGGAGGATGCCCCTGCTGCTGGGCAGTGCGCACTCGGGCGTTTAGGGTCACGGGCCGGAACTAGGCGGGCAGGGGCGTGGTTCGGGACAGGGCTGACCTTGCGGAGCACGCAGACTCCCACCGCAGAGACGAAGGTCCCTGCAGGGGGTGTAGCTCAGGGACGTCAAAATCCGTGCGGGCCCTCCCGTCGGGCCCGGGGACAGGGGAAGGGAGGGAGCACGGGGGGCGGGGGGGCTGCCTCCCTCCGGGTCCCCTGGGACTCGTCTCGGGGACCGTTGCAGGCGCGGTGCAGCTTCTCCAAAGCCCCGCGGCTGCAGGTGACACCTGGGCCCCTCACTGGCTTCCTCATTGACGAGAACTGATGGCTGCCGCTCGGAGGCCGGGGGCTGAGGTTCACACTTTACACAAGACCCTTAAAAACACACGTGAAGATAAATTCTGCGTAAACACACATTTAAAATGTGCCACATAATCACGGGTTACTCTCTCGACAGGCTTGTTTTTCTTCCGTGGCAGCAGTGATAATTATGTAAATAATCCAAAAGCCACATTTTAAAAAATTGATGATTTTAACAGAGCCTGAAATGGGGTCTTTTCTCCAGCACTGGATAAATATTTAACCACAGAAAAGCGAGCAATTTAGAACAAGAAGCAGCCCAGGTAACAGGAAGCCGGGGCCAGGGTGATCTTTTTAATTGAGTCCCATTTACTGCCAAGTTACCCGTCGCATTGTTCCGCCTCTGCAGACGGGCGTGAACTCGGGACACACCGGAGACGGAGCCCGCGGCGCGAGACCGCTGGGCGCCGCAGCTGCTAACAGACTCACGCTTCCTTTGGCAGATGGAGACGGACACACGGATCACTTGCTCCCGGGCTGCGAGGACAGCAGCTGCCAGAGAAGCGCCATCTACTTAGCGAGGTCCGGGACAGCGCAGGTGCGGCGGCGGGCCCAGGGGGAGCGGGCTTCTGGGCGCGAGAGGGTCTCGGGGCTTAGCAGGGTCTCTGACGATCGGCACAGAGGGAACGCAAGAACAAATCACCGGTCTCCTCGCTTAATGCGGTTCATTCCAGTCTCCCTTTTCATTTGTTTACCGAGAGAACATGCTGTTAGAATGATCTCTAGCGAAGAGAAGCCATCCTGGGTCCTGTAATTAGATGACGTGTTAGCGTTTTATCTGCGGGGGCGGGGGCTGGGTAAAGCACCAGAACTCGCACTCGGGGTTGGGGAGAACGTGGTGTCCGTGCGTCTTCAAGGCCAAGCTTGGTTTCACCTGTGACGCGGGACCTGCTTCGTTCTCCCCTGCCGACCTCCCCTGCAGCTCGTGGGCAGATCGACGACCCGGGGTCGGAGGGTCACAGCCAGGGACCAGCGCGGAAATGACAGGCAGTGGCACGGAGGATCCTCCCTGTTGGTAGCCCCCGGAAGTGGAAATGCCCCGTTCTCTTCTCCGCTTGGGGCCTTGTATAAAGGACAGAATGATACACTGACTTCCGCAGCCTTTACAAGTAGAAACATCACGCTTTACACTCAGGCACTGAAGGAAACGGAACAAGTCTTCATGGTCGACAGTGTGGTGGTGACCAGAGGGGAGGGGATAGACGGTGACGGAGGGAGACTTGACTTTGAGTGGGGAGCACGAACATCGTACACGGATGGTGTATTTATAAACCGCCCTCCTGCAGCCTACGTAATCTTAGTAACCAGTGTCGCCCAGTAAGTTCAGCAAAAATTTTTAAAAACAAAACAAGTCTTCATATATCCGGCATTCTAAACAACGTGTAACTATTACACTCCTAAGTGTTATTATCCTGAACTTTTCGAAACTCAGAATCCCTAAAACCGTTGGGTGTAATGACCCCTCGTCGTTGGCTCGCAGGTGAAGCAAAGCTTAGTGACAGCCTGTCTTCAGGGGACAGGCCCCTGGGGCGTAGCTGCAGAGGGCACAGTCGCCCCTCTCTCGGGCAGGCAGGCGTCACAGTGCTGCAGTGGCTGGTAAGGGCGTCCATTAGTGAGGAGACCTCTCACTGTGCAGACCCCAGCCCCCGACCCCTTCCCCGCACAGGAACCCGTGCCCTCATCAGGGAGCTGGCGGCCTCTTCGGGAAGCGGTGCTACCCTGGCGTTTCCGGTGCTTCCCATCTTCCAGAACAAAACTTTTTTTTTTTTCAGTCAAATGAAGCATTAAAAGATGTTGATGACATTTAGTAATTTTTTTTGCTTTGCAAAAGATGGAAAAGCTGGTGAGAGATGCAGATGGGTTTTTCACAACAGCTTGTTTTTTGTAAATTTGTCTTTGTCACTGAGTTTTCTCGATTCCCGTGGCAAACCACGCCCAGAAAGGGTTCGGGGCGCCCCGCGTGCTGCTGTGGCCCTTGCAAGAAGCCGTGTGTCTGCAGGTCACCTGCAGACGAGGGAAAGCCGTCTGGGTGCGCGAGGCCTGCTGCTGTTTGGAGCCAGCTGTGCCTGCTCTGCATGGGCATCTCCCGGTGCCCCCCCCCCCAGCCAGCCGCGGGCGCCACTGTGACTTTAGCGGCATCTCGTCCACGCTTTAGATTTTGAGTGCCCGTTAGGTCATTGAAAGGGAATATCTGGGCATTCCGAAGAGACAGGGATTTCCGAAAGCTCATTTAGAAATCAGCCTCTTCTCTCTGTGCTCTTCATGGTAACGAATACAGAAGTAAAGGATTTACTGAGATCGTAGCTTCCGGCCCTTTCGACAACGAGGCCCGCTCTCCTGGGCAGGCGGGGCTCGGTGGGGCCGGCACCGCCTGGCTCCGGGGTGCGGCCCAGGGTTGCCGCCAGGTGCGGCAGGCGCGGCAGGGGGCCCGGTGCTGCACACAGAACTTGGCCGCGTCCCGACTGCTCCTCGGCCGCCCCCCGCCCCCCGAAAGGGCAGCAGCGGCAGACACCACTGCGGGCTCTAACCCTACCAATGGTGATCTGCGGTTGAATTTCCCGTAAACACAGATTCTCAAGTGGGCAGCCCAACTGTGTCATCATTAACGTTGTTTTGACCCTGCGGTTCCGTGGTTCTGTGAGACGCCCGCTAAGGCCCCACGGGCCAGCCCAGAGAAAGACACCCAGCGACAGAGGGGACAGGGGACCTTCTTCTTACCGAGGATCGGCTGCCCGTTCCTCAAAGTAACCTCCCGCCACACTGGAGGGCAGCGGACTTCGGAAAGATGATGTTTGTGTTGGGGGCTTGAATGGATTGTGTGTCTTGCAAATGCTGAGTTTTTTCCAAAATGGCTTGACAGTCTCCCCGTCCGCCCCCGTTCGCAGTGGGTCCCGGTGCTGCAGGACTTCGGCCACAAGGGCGCGCTCTGGGGCTTCGTGCCGCCGGGGCAGGAGCCACTCCCCACGGAGATCCCCGTTCCCATCACCCTGCACGTGGGCGACTACAACATGGACGGCTACCCGGACGCCCTGGCCGTGCTGAAGAACACGTCCGGGAGGTAGGGGGTCGCAGCGGGCGGGCGGGCGGGGAGCGGTGGGAACGCGGCACCTACATGTGGCGGGGGGGCCTTCTTACGTGAGAAACACGACGAGCTCAGAGCCCGTGCCCACGCGTGTCCCGGGCCTCCCGGCTGCTCAGGAACCTGCTCTTCTCCGGTTTATTCTCTGCAGAGCAAAAGGGACCGTCTGCTCTAGAGTGAAAAACCTGTCTGTTATTCACCAAAGTGGGTCTTTAAAGGGTCAGACTTTGTGATCACCAAATGACCCCTCACTGTTTCGGTGGGGGTTTGTGTGTTTGCTTGCTTGTTTGGACCCGTTACACTTGGAGGCCGGGGACTGTGGTGGCTGGAAGCTGAGCTGGGCCTGACTCTCCGCCCGGCCGCCTGCCGCCCGTGTGGCCGCGTGCGGGCGGCCTGGGCTCCCCGTCTGTGCGGTGGGAGGAGCCAGCGGACCTCTGTCGTGGGGGTGGGGTGAGAAGGGAGGTGATGATACACAAAGCAGTTACGTTGCTAAAGGGACCTGAACAGACCTGTTACTAGAAACAAAATTGAATCAGCCATCCAAGAACTTCCCCCAAACCGAAGTCCAGAACCCGACGACTTCCCAGGTGAGTTCAGGTGAGTTCTACCAAACATTCAGAGAAGCATGCCTGTCCTTGTCAACCCCGGCTGGAAGTTGGAGGGAGGGGGAGCTCTCTAACCGCCCCCCGCCACGAGGCCCACATCACCCTGAGGCCAAAGCCAGAGGCAGGGGGTTACAGGCCGGCATCTCCCATGAACATGGACTTCACAATCCTCAGTAAAACGCCAGCAAAACAAGTTCAGCAGCGCATTAAAAAGCCCCTCACCGTGATCGAGTGGAACTTATTCCAGGGATGCGAGGGTGGGTTAACGTCCTCAGATCAGACAGCGTGACGTCGCATACGTGGGATGACGGGTGACAATCACGTGATCATCTCGATTGATGCCGAAAAACCACTTGGAAAAACTGGGCATCCGCTCACAGTAAGACCTCCGGACAGAGGGGTGTAGCGGGAGCACACTCGACGCGGTGAGGTCCACGCACAGCACGCCCACGCTGACGTCGCTCTCGGTGGTGAGTAGCTGGAAGCTTCTCCTCTAGGACAGGAACGAGACGGGGGGCCACTGTCACCACCCCGTCACCCGCCAACACAGGGTTGTGGGTCCGAGCCACAGCAACCACAGGAGAGAGACATGAAGGCCATCAAGTGGGACAGGGACAAGTAAAATTGTCACTATTTGCAGATGATGTGACATTGTGTACAGAAAACCCTATAAATTCCACCAAAACACTGTTGGAGGTAATGAGTTCAGGAAAGTTTCAGGGTACAAAATCGATATATAAAAGTCTGTTGTGTTTCTATATACTAATAATGAACTGCCAGAAAGAAACATTGACAAAACAGTCCCACTTAATGTAAATAGCTAGGAGTAGATTTAACCGAGGAGGCAGGAGACCTGGGCCTTGGAAACGGGAGGGCGTCGGTGGGAGACGTTGAAGACACAGATGAACACGGACGTCGCGCCGTCGTCACGGAGAGGGAGCGTGGACGCCGGTGGAACGCGCAGGCACTCTGCAGAGTCGGCGCAGTCCGCGTCCAGACACCAGCGGCGTTCTTCACGGAGTGGGACCAAGGAGCCCAGAACTTACACAGAACCAAAAGAGATGGTGGGAACGCCGGGAGACAAGCGGAAGAAGGCGTTTGAACGAGTGTTCGGTGTAAAGCTACAGCAGACTTCTCCCTCTTCGTTATTCACAAGTTCGTGGCACGCTGGAAGGTCAGGTGTTGTCCTCAGACCCTACCCCGATCGCTGGCGGCGCCGAGCTTGGCCAGGAGCCCAGGTTCCCACCCGAACCGGAGAGCCAAAACGAGCGTGCCTGCCCATCCATCGCACGGCCACCCCCTCGCCGCACCGGAAGGTGGACGACGCGGCCCCCAAGCGGGGGTGTCCCTGTCGTGGGCGTCTCGGGTGTCCGTGCTGGTTCTTCAGAGCCCACGGGTTTCGCACTGCGGCCCGTCTGCGCCGGGCGGCCACGTTCCAGTCGCCCAGTGGCTGCGTGTGGGCTGCGGGCTGCCGTGTCGGGTGGCAGGGTCACACTGAGTCGTCGTCCTCTACAGCCCAAGAGTTCAAGTTCACGGTCATAAAGCCAGTTTGACTTGTTGTCACCATTTAAGGTTGCGTGTTAGCCTTACCACGTCTGTTTCCTCTTTACACTCTCAGGTACTACGCTTACTGTACGTCTGTTTCTGTGTTTAGTATGTCTAGTTGGGAAATAAAAATAAGTGAACTATATTTCTAGTCAAGTCAGCAAACTAATTTAACATAGTTGTGTCCCTTGTGGGGTGTGTAGCTAAACTGGATGTATAATCCAGCGTGTTTTTTTATCACTTTGTGTAAGCCACCACAGTCTCAATGACAGCCCCTGGCACGCGGCGGACTCCTCACGTGTGATACAGATTACAGAGAACCAGCCTGATTGTATCTGTTCAACACGAGAGTGTACATGCAGAGCGAATACAGGTTACTGTATACACAGTCTAAGCTCTGTCGACCCTATTTCAATAATACTGATACATCCTATGGACGTAAGGACATTTTTCTGTGTTTTCTCATAAAAGTTCCAAATTCCTTCTTTTCACATCATCTTATACTCCACCTGGCCCAGATTCTGTGTGGCACCACACGGCTCTGTCCAACCATTACCTTCCTCCCGGAGGACAGGCCGAGCCGTGTCGGGGGGTGGGCTGGGGTGCCCCACCGCTCCCCTCCGGTGCCACCTCTGGCCGGGCGCCGCGCCCTCAGCCTCCAGCCTCCAGCCCGGCTCCGCGTGGTGGCGACTCCTGGGGCTCTCACGGAAGCCTTGGCAGGTGCCAGAGGAGTCTTCCCGTGTCACTGTTTTCTTCAAAATTGTCTTCACTGTTTCGTCCCTGTGTTCACCCACATAAATTTTAAAGTTAACTTATTTCACAAGAAAGCTCTGCTGGGCCCTGAACTAACTGAGTTGAAGACATCATTGTATGTAAAGATTAATTCGTGAGGAGCTGGCTTATTTGTGATGTTGGATCTTCCAGTTCGTTTTTGAAATATTCTTTAGTAACGTTTTGTCATTATCTTCCTAAAACTCCTGTGCGCCTCTCGTTAGATCGCTCCCTGGTAACGGGAGCCACGCCGTCGCTGGGAGTGAGATTCTCTGTTACCTCTCTGGGGGTCGTCGCCGGTGGGCGGGACCACGGCCTCGGTGCGCGGACCTTGCCGCCCTCCTCTCGCCCCGGTCTCCTGCTCCGACAGCCGCTCCCTTCTCTCTCGGGTCTCAGGCGCACAGTCCCTTCACCCGGAAACAAGGACAGTGAGACCGCTGTCACACAGCTGTCCTCCGCTCCCTCTCTCCGGTCCCACTGCACGGGCCGGGCATGCGTCGTCGTGGTGACGCTGCTGCCCGGTGTCACTGACGTGTCCGTGACGCACGTGATGGTTTTCTGCAGGAGAGTGGTTCATTTTCTAATGTGCGACAGAAGCTGCGTGACTTCTTAGATGCAGAGGTGGCATTCTGTGACTTAATAGAATATATATTTGCCTAACACACACAAATCATACAGATTCAGAAAGTACAAATAAAACAGTAAATTAAAGTCATCTGTAAGCACATCACCCGGAGATGCTCAGTGTCTGTGTTTTGGTATTAGGCAGAATCTCAGTTCAGGCTTTAAAATCAGTCTGAAAATGGCACAGTTGCTCTTAAAAATCCATCCGGTCCCATATACAATATAAATATACGCACATGTGTGTGTGATCGTCCCTGTCCGCACTGCGAAGCGAAAAAGCAGCGCCACGTGAGAGTGCGGTTTCCTGGCCTCCTCACGGGCTGCTGTGGCTGGCGAGCGGCCGCAGACATGCGACAGCCCCCTCGCCGCGGGCCGGGCGTCAGCGCAGAGTCGGACTCGGGGCGTCCCGCGTGCGTGGGCCTCCTGCGGCAGCTGCGAGACACCCCCTTCGTGCTGACGGGAGCGCCTACGCCTGCGTACGACGCACCGCAGTCCATGAACCCTCGTTCTTGTGTGTTTACTTGCTAGTGCCCTTGTTTGGGCCCACAGCCGGCATTTCAAACACGGTGTCTTCGTAACACAAAAGCCGGGGCGGAGAAAGGCGGGGGGAGAGGCCTGGGGCCCTCACACTCCGGGGAAATACAGACGTCGTCCATCCAGGGGGCGGACCTCCCGCATCCTCCACGACCCAGCAGAACAGCAGCTCGGCTCGCGCTCAGGCGCCCGAGGGACATTCAGCAATGACTTGTGGACGTGAAGGGGAACTGTGTTCAAGCAACAGAATCCCGAGGCAGGAAATCCATGTTCGCCGGGCTTTGGGAATGCTGCTGCTGCTCCCAGGCCGTGGGAACCAGCCCCTCCCTTCCGGATAAAGGGGGGGGGGGCAGTCAGAAACCACAGGGTGCCCGAAGCGGCCACCACTCTGCACGACCCCGAGGCAGAGGTCCCCGGGGGAGGGGCCCGGTCGCCTGCACCCCGCCCTTCCGCCTTCCGTCCGCAGCTGGGTGTTCACGCAGACCCCCAGGGGTCCCGGCAGGGCGGGCTGGCCCTCTGCTGCCTCCTCTGTGAGTGAGTCCTCAACGACACCCTTGGGACCGCGAGTACCCAGCACGGGGGACGCAGCTCACTAGTGATGCTGGCTGTGAATCCCACGCTCACAGCTGCGCCGTGACGCGGCCGTTTTCAAGCCGTCGTCATGCCAACAATCGGAGTCTCATCCCGCCCTCCAGGAAGGGTGGAAAGGAGCGTCGGGCGACGAGCGCCACCCCGAAATCGGGTCGCCTGGGGTCCCACGAGGCCCGAGAAGACCCAACGAGGAAGACGACTCCAGGGTCCCAGGCACGCTGCCTGACTGCGGTGCCGCCATTTCTTTCAGAGTTTTAGTTAATTCAGTGTTTGTTCCCCTGCTTAATAAAGGGTTTAATAGGTGATTGT